CGGTTTTGTCTTCAGATATATCATGCATGAGCATGACATATCAACATCACCATCATATCCAGTTACACAGGATGCAGATTTCTAATTACTGTTAAGTTTGTAGGTGGGAAGAAGCTACAAACAATTCAAGTAGGTTAATCGCTTGAGAAAAATACTCACAGAATACTTGTTAGAACCGATTTGTCTCTCAAACACACGGAAGTAGTAGAGAAGATAAGCGCCAAATATCAGCTCTGGTGTAGATGAAAATGCAAAAACTGAAACAATCAGTTTCCATAATTGAAGCTTCTTCAAGATATCCTGTCATTTACAAAAATGATCATAGATCAACAAGTAGCTCAAAAAGTGTATATAAACGTGACCATTTTGCATCTCAAAACTAATCTTCTAACGGCTGCTATAGGACAAGTCTATTTTTCTTTTATTTTCCCTTCTTGGGAGTGTTGGAGAGGGAACTAGGAAGAGGAGCATGAATATGATACTAATCAGGATACAGACTGGTCTCAATCTTGCTCAGCTAAAGTTAAAAATTGGATCAAATTGGAGTTCTCCATTTTCCCATGTCTAGACACAGATTACTGATTACTGATTTGGTGATGCACAACACCAGCGGCTATACTGTTGTGATCAACTTTATGCTTTAAAAACATAGTATGATAAACTGCTGTAGGGGCTTGGACAATCACCATGCAGATGTTGGGAATTCTTTTTTTTTTTCTAACTTGGTCTTGGTTCATTTCAATTTATTTCATGTGCCACATCTGTTTGCTCCAATATTAACGCAAAAGGATCATGGGCATTTGGCACTCCAGTTCTCACTTCTAAGTGTGATATTGGGCATTCAGCATTCTGGTTCTCCATGTGATCTAGTTATTGGGGGGGGGGGGGGGGGGATGAGCTTGTATGAGTGTTAAAGATCACTGTTTTTTAGTTTTCTTGTTTTAGTTTCTCAACTTCAAAGATCATTGGTTGTCATGTCCCCAACATGAAGAGGGATGTCAGTAGATAGAATTAGAATTATCAAATTAAAAGTTAGAATCAGGATTTAATTAGGTTTCCATACATTAATTCACCAAATGGTGAATCAAAATATAATCAAATCATAAATTGCGACCTCAAATAACCAAATCCCTAAAATGTCAAATTGGTACTAGGGCATCTCAGACAAGGCTGTAACTGAAAGCCAATGGATAAATGTAAGCATTAAGAAGAAAATGAATCCACACCTGATAAGACAAACCGAGCTTGTTTGAACGACCTTGGATCCCAAACAGGATCGTAAACAGAAAACACGCAACAACAAAGGTTCTAGTGATCGGAGCATTATCTGATAAATAAGCAAAAGAATTATAAACACCTGATTCAGATTAGTGATAAGAAAGGGAATTTCAAAGAACTTGGTAGAAGTTACATACTGAAACCAGATGGGCCGCCGTTCATCTTCCTTAAATTTTAAAAGTGACCAACGACCTTCAATCTTGAGAGGTCCTTTGGTCTATTCGAATATTGTTGATCTATGATGATGATTATAGTCCGTGGGTAAATTCTTTGGAGAGGGTGTACCGAGAACGATTTGGCAGGTTAGGGTTTCACTTGCGTGACAAGCCAACTCTTTGCTGAAGGATTACATAGAAAAAAGATCCAAATGCAAAAATTTAACATCAAATCTTACATAAAAAAAAATGGTGGTCTTTAGGGCATCTCCACTCGACCGGCAATTTTAAGGAATTGCCGTTTGTGACTTCTCCAATCGACCGGCAAATAAATTTAGGTTTTACCGGATCCCTTATTTGAACGGCAAATATGCCGTGGGTTTCTTGAACGGCAAAATCAGTGGGACCCATTAATTTGTATTAAAAACCATTTTTTATTTAGGGGGTGTTTGGGATTGCTTATCAGAACTGCTTTTTAACTTATTTCAGTCTGACACCGGAGATAAGTTATTTTAGAGTGTTTGGGAAAAGAAAAAAAAACTGCTTATACCGGTGCCAAACCGGTAATAAGCAGTTTTTGATAAGTTAATCCTTACTGACTTATSAAAAACAACTTATCACCGATTTACCATTTTAACCCTCTTTAAATTTATCCAAACATCATATACGTCTCATCATCATCATCCCTTCCTCTCATCATCATCATCCCTTCCTCTCATCATCAATATCCCTTCATCAGATATATTATAAATATATTATTTTTTCTTGAGTTATTAATGGTATTAGTATAAATGTTTGTTAATTATTAATCTTATTGATATAAATTATTAATCTTATTAATATAAATTTTTCGCAAATATATTATAAATGACGAAAAATAATTTTTTACATGTTAAAAAATCAAATAAGTTAATAAGCAATCCCAAACACTCTCATAAGTCAATAATATGGAAGACTGTCTTTTTTGGTCATTTTACAGATATAAGCAAAATTTGCCAAACACTAAAAAACAACTAAGTTTTATTTCATGCCAAAAACCATCCAAGCAACAACATGCAAGTGTATCAAAATATTTGGGAAAACACAAAAAACATATTTCAATCAAAAAGAAATAATAAAAGTTTTCTTCTATAGTACAACAACTAAGTTTTATTTCATTAAGAAAAGAAAACACTAGTTTTGTAAAAATGGTTTTCACTAGACTTTTATTTCCTTTTATATCCCTCTTTTTTACACAAAACAAAGAGCCAGATTTTTTTCAAGTTCTTGGTCTATTTACTACATAGAAATAGCCCCAAAACTTCTTAAAAAACAGCCAAAAACAGCCCCTAAAAGGCAGCACAAAAGAGCTAACATTTTACAATCAAAACCAAGTTTTAAACTTGATTTTTTTAGGCTTAAATTACAGCTCAAAGGCTGCTGTCCTGGCAGCTTTGAAACAACCTTATAGGCTGTCCAAAACAGCCCCAAAACATGTTTAAATAAGGTCTAAAACAACCCCAAAAGATCTCCCTTTTATTGGATTAAAATAGAGCTCAAAATGGGTGTTTTTCGGACTTCAAAACAAAGTATAAGAAGGTTAAAAGATGAACCTTTTAAATCAAGATTTTTAAACCCTTAAAAGATTAAAAATTTGAGGTTTTGAAATCTAAACTAAAGAGGGAAATGAAACTTAAAATTAGAAGTGAAAAACTAGAAATGGTTCTACATGCAACATGCACACCCTTTCCCGAAAGTGTGCACAAATACATGATCTAAACCAATTTCTTAGAAGAAAAGATGAAGATGTGCAAAATCTTTGTACAAGTGGCTCTGATACCATTTGTTGGAGGATGGTTATAAAAAAAACATACATGCAACGGAAGCAAAAACATAATAACCATCCAACAAGAAAAAGGATCCAATGTACAAGAGATTAAGCAACATAACAAGAGATAGAGAAAGAATTTCGACTTTCACTTGCAAGGAGAACCCAAAAGGAGAGTTCCTCTATGTGTTCACACCCAAAGCTCCAAGTATAGGTGCAAGAGAGTCCCCTATCTTCTTCAAGTTTGGCTCAAGAAYACCAAGAACACACACTAGTGTGTGTGTAGAGAGAAAAAAAGAACTTTTCTTGTGTGTATGTGTATGGTACGGCCAAACCCATAAAGAAGAGAAGAAAAAAGAGCCACTCAAGTGGCACAAGTCCCCATGCCATGCATACTTGAGTGCTTTCTCAAAGTTTCAAATCAACCCCTCTAACTTTGGTAAATTGCAAGCTAAACCCTTCAATTTACAAAATATTTTAAGGATGACTTATATCTTTTATAAGTTTCTAATTTAAACCATCAAACATGATGTTTAACAAACTTAGTCCCTTACGTTTTATTCTTGCACCTTATTTGGACTTTGCGTGCGACCCAATAGGAGCATGCAATGTGAATTATGTGGTGACAATGGACATATCTCAAACAAACCGCATACTATGATTATGAGACAAGGCAAATGGTGTCATGACCGCTTTCCTAAACGGTCACCTAAGCGAGGACGTATATATGGTGCAACCGGAAGGGTTTGTGAATCTAACAGACCCTAAAAAGGTGTGTAAGCTTCGAACATCCATTTATGGATTGAAACAAGCATCTAGAAGCTGGAATCTTAGGTTTGATGAGAAAATTAAAGAGTATGGTTTTGCTCAAAATCAAGATGAGCCTTGTGTTTATATTAGACCCAGTGGGAGCACTGGTGTCTTTTTGAACTTGTATGTTGATGACATACTAATCATTAGAAACGATATTCCAACCTTGCAAGACATTAAAACTTGGCTTAGAGCATGCTTTGCCATGAAAGATCTAGGAGGAGCAACATATTGATAGGTTACGGGATCTCAAGCACAGCGGAAAATAAAACCGTAACCCTCCAAGGACCCATACGAACCGGAATAAATCGGGTGTTTCAAAATTATACCTCACAGTTAGTGAAACTCTAGATCACAGCAACAAACAAAGCTTGATGCCTCCACGGTATCCACGCGAACAATCCGAATCCTTTGCCTTCTCGTGATGCTAGTCACGGTTTTAAAATTTAGAAAGAAACGGGAGCATATTGTTCTAGGTGGTTTTAGGAGAGAAGAATGCAAGACCAAAAAAAACTCTCTTGCATAAAAAATGTCATACATTTTATATGGACATGGGATGTATGACCTAATCATCATCATACCTCCACCATGCCTCCACCATGCTTGAGTGTAAAACCTTCCATGCACCATCACTCTCTTACAAAGCCATACMTAGTCAWYTTTATTTATGTCCAACATAAATAATATCTGATTTTATTTAATCAGATTAAATCGATACAAATCAGATATGATAATTAAACATTTTAATTATTGAAACTTCTTATTCGAATATGTTCAAAGCGTGTGRCCCAATGGGTTCTCGACATGTTGGCAATAAATATAAATCTCATATTTATAGTTAAAAACGATGAGCGGTATCTAGCAATACATCACGGTTACCCAAATGACGAGAATTAGTGATACAACAAATTATCGGTTTGTAGTCAATTTTAGTTTTACATATTTAATTCTTTTGTCCTTGATGTCCAGGTTGAACACGAGACATTGAATGTGTCATTATCGTTATGTCCAATCTCTAGTTTCTTGATTCCTTAACATACTAATAAAAATAGATAATGATATCTCATATCAATTATYTAAGCATGCATGCATTTCTTTAGTATATATTTATCAAGGGGCCCAGAGGCATCACTCCCGTCACATAAAAGAGGGACAAATCCTATCTCGATACATGCTAATTCTATCATGTGATATGCAACATACCCAACTATCATTCTGTCACTCAGTTACGGAATGATTAGAATAAATGTCAAAATACATTACTCACA